ATTGGTTATGTAGAACACTTTACTTTAAGAGAAATTAACATTATTTATTTTTTTTTAATTTTAAAAATTTTAGTTTATCATACATATTGTGAAAAATATATTCCTAAAAGATTTAATAGGTACGTTTACAAAATTGATTAAGTAGTTTTCAATTTAACCATACAGGGTGTTTCACATTCGTGGTCTATTAGAAGTTTCTGGGGAACGAAAAAAGATACCCAAAGTGAATAATTTTCGAGTTTTTTGTTATTAGGTTTGCAGATATGGCGGTGGAATTTTTGGAATCTTAGAACATTGTTTAAAAGACTCCATGTCAATTTTTTTTAACATTTTTTAACAAATTACCTAAGAAAACCCAGAGCAAATTAGACTAACTTGAAAGGTTAATAACTTTTAGGTAAGTTTTCACATAATCAAATAGTAAATTATGTTACCATTGCATTGCATTGAGTCATGACTCAACGATGTTACTATTCCCTATACCTAAAGTTAATAATTTCGGAGATATTTAACAATTTCTAAAATTTTAAATATTATTTTTTATCAAGAAACCTGTGTATAGTATGGTATAGAGAATCAATCAGAAGGTTTTAATTTACTACTGATTAAGTAAAAACATACCAGGTGTTACATTTAAAATAAGAAAGTTTTTAACTTTTTAAGTTAGCCCAATTTGTCCTGGGTTTTCTCAGGTAATTTGTTGAAAAATTTTAAAGAATTGACAAAGAATATTTATAAAAAAATTTAATATTCCAAAAATTTCACCCCATATTCGCAAACCTAATAACAAAAAAGTTATAGGCTATTTTTTGACGCGCATTTGTCAAATTTTAACGAAAAAATTAATAACTCGAAAACTATTCACTTTATTTATAGAACATGGTATAGTAATTTTACTCAAAATCATCAACATCAAATTATGTGGAATGTAAAAATGTAAAAATATATGGGGTTCTATTCGAAATAACAAAGTTGATGTCACTTCCGGTTAAACCGGAAGTGGCATTTTGTTTAAAATATTTCGGAAAAATAGACTTAAACGCTTTTAAGATTAAAAAAAAACAACTTGGCAATCCTGTGTTGTCAACAGATGTACAGTCAGAGAAAAAAGTAATGCGCTTTTTCCTTTAAACCTAATTTTGAAGGTTTTATGACGTTTTTAGACATTTATATGCAGTTGGGTCATTTTAGATAGTTTTGGCATATTTTTGATAGTTTCGGCGAATTTTTAATTTTTAGAATGTATGAGGAAGTTTCAGGGAAATTTTCCGATAGTTTCAATACAATTTGGGTCATTTTAAATATTTCTTATTCTTATTTTAGATGGTTTTTGAAACTTTTTTTAATAGTTTTTACTAGAGAAGGATGAACAATTTTAGTAAATGCCTATAAATGCTTAAAAAGTATTAAATAATATTATTTAACAAATAGTTTTTTTAATGAACATTGATTTAAATGAACATTGATTTACTAAATTTGTAGTAAATTTCCTCATCATATTAAACATTTAAAAATGCATTTATGAGCATTTTTGAGCAATTATGGACACTTTTAAAAGTGCTTTTTAATCTGCCATCTCTAGTTTTAACCCATTTTACACTCTAAAGAAAGTTTGGGTATTTTTTTATAGTTTATTTAAAACTATACTTATTTTGGGATATTTTAGACATTTTATAGTAAATTTTATTAATTCGCATTTTAAGGTACAGTCCTTAACAAAAATGGGTAAAGTGCCTACTATTTTCTCTGACATTTGTGTCAAAAATGTAAAACAAATTTGAACTTAAAATTTTTATTTGAGCTTTTGTTTTTGTTTTTGATTCGATCTTTATTTTTTTTTACTCATACCTTTTTTATCTTCGTTATTTATGGTCTTATGTAAACAAAAATTCTAGATACTAAATTTGTCACTTTAGTATCTAGAATTTTTGAGTTAAAAATTTATCAACCAACAAAGAAGAAGAGGTTAATTTAAAATAAGGTTTTAAAAACAAAAGTAAAATGAAAATTGTTTTGTTGAAAAAAGTGTTAGTCTAGTTAGTCTCAATAAGTTCTACAACATCTTTTACGTTGAGTTGTTTGGTCCAAAAACATTGAAATATACAAACAAACTTCATTTTTAAAAACGTTAAAAGTTAAAATTCTAAAAGAAAAGTTCACAATTTTTCTTAGAATCCTTAGTGCATTTCTTGTACTCTGGATGTAAATTTTGATTATTTTTTTTAATATTTTAAATCAAATTTTTAGCAGGTACTTTGTACTTGGTAAAATTTTTTGTACTTGTACTTGGTAATTAAGTTCATCTTAAGTACTTCTTTTTGTTTATTCTGGTAAAAATTGGTTAGTCAATTAAAAAATGTTAGTTTCGTTTAAAAACCATCGCGATTTGCAATTTTGACTGAAATGAGGGTATCTTTTTTTATATTAATTAGGGTAGATAAATCACATTTAAAAAGGTTATTTAGCGTTATAAAAGCATTTTTATTTAACTAAAATATTACGGTGTAAGGTAAAATATCCAAAAAACCTAAATGACTAACTGTTTTCTAAAATGTTAATCAAATAATGATAAAAATAAGTGTGTTAGGTATAATCGTTAAAATTTAAATTGTAAAATAGTTTTGGATTTTATTTAAATTTTTGTTGGAGTTTTGTTGCAAAACAACTTTATAATGGACATTTTAGAAGCTTTGTTTATGCCAACTTTTTAAATCTGAAATATTCCTACACAACAAAAGTGCTCAAATGAAGCTTATATTTTAAACTGTAAGCAATCTCAGTCTTGTAGATAGTAATAAGACTAAAAAGCTAAAATTGTTGCATTTATATATACAAACTCTCGCGCCTTTACAAAGTAAAAATCATTAAAAATTATTTATTTTTCTAATAAAAGACAATGAATGTAAGCTGGGCAGTTTGAATTTTAAAAAGTGGCCTAAACTGAGATTGGATGTATGTAAATGTAAGTGTTAGTTTATAAGGATATCATCAATTTTTTACCTCATTTCATTATAAATTGTTTTTTCTACGTCTTTTGTTACTTTGAGTCTCAATGCTTTTATTTCAAGCTCTCTTCATCCACCGCATATTTTATAGTGATAACGGTTACATAATCATAATAATTATTAGTGACCTATTTGTTTTTATTTATAGAAATTATATAAATATTTTATCTAATATTAGATATAGTCCGAAATTAAAGAAACATACATATATACTGCCATATTAAAATGTTTCTAAATGTTAGACATTAATCTTCACAAAAACAGTTAGCATTTTCAATAATTATTCATCATTTAAGTCACACATTTTTGTATTTAATTATGTAGGTGATTTTAGTCAGGCAATATTTTAATCTTAATATTAATTAATAGAAATTCAATTATTTTTTAATTTTGATTTTATACTTACTGTAGTTTTTAACTTTTAAATAATTTGGAAATGTAATTGTAATTGGGAAATTGCAAGGTAATAAATTTAATTGGGTACATAACTTGTTGTTTTATTTATAACCCCTTGGAAAAAAATTATTTGTTTTAAAGGAATATTGTTTTAATGTTTTAGTACTTAATATTACTTCTTAATACATTTATTTTGATTTTAAATAACAGAAAATTCAGGATGTCACTTAATAAAATTTTTAATAAAAAACAGAGTAACAAGTAAAAAAGATTTTTGTGGTAAATTGAATTTTCTATAAAAAAGGTCCTATGCATTAATACATTAAAATGCATAGTTTAAAAGATATGGAGCATTTAATAAATTTTACTGTCAAATATTGATAAACTACTTAGTCCTATGTTGTTTCACGACAAAATGGTATAAAGTAAACAAAAACTTTATGAAAAATTCAATTTAACTTTTATTTTCATTTTTAAGTTTTTCCATTGAAAGAACAAAAAATAAGGCGACATTTTACGTTATTATAATTTTTAATAAATTTTACTTTCAAATATTGATACCAATTATCCCTATATTGTTCACAAGGATTAAAGGTGAGGAAAAAAAATTTAATTCCCTACAAAAAAAGTTCCATGCATTGATGCATTAAAATGCTTAGTTTAAAAGATATAGAGTGTGTAATAAATATATTTGACAGTAAAATTTATTAAATTCTCTATATCTCTTAAACTATGCATTTTATTGTATTAATTCATAAAATCTTTTTTATAGGAAATTAAATTTTCTATAAAAATCTTTTACTTTCTATGCATTTTATTGTATTAATTCATAAAATCTTTTTTATAGGAAATTAAATTTTCTATAAAAATCTTTTACTTTCTACCTGTAACTTTAAGCGTTTTGCAGTAAAATCCAAAAATACTGTTTTTATTACAGTATACAGGTTAAAATATATGAGTTGTATTAAAATTGTTGTAAAGTACCTTTGAAGAGCATCTAATTATGTACAAAATTGTAGTAACGTAAAATAGTACCGCCAAGCTCTAAAGACAAATAAAAGTGAACAAAATAAAAGTTTAATTAAAACATTATAATATATAATAATAGTACCTACCTATATTACAAAATTTCTAAAATTATGAAAGAACGTAAGAAAATAAGGTAAATAAATAATTTCATAATATATATATTTTGCATAATAAATGATTTATATCAACTTCAATTATAGTTAGGTTCATTTAAATCAAGGTTGTTTTGAAACAGCAAATTAGGAAATAATTTAAAATTCCCCCCTATTTAAAATGTAACTTGGACAGCGCCATCTGTTATGTAATAGCCGACATTAAAATAATTTAACCATAAACGAATTAAAATTGTGTCCATATTAATACAAAAATGTTTATTTATGTATTTTTAATTGTATTATACAACACAATAATTGCTAAACAATTTTAATTTTCCGAAATATGCGGTATAAAATTTTTGATCACCAGTGACATTTCTAAACTTCAGTAATCGTCTTATAGAGGGCGTCGTAAACCTAAAATATAACCTGTTTTCAAATTACTTTCACTTTTGACGTTTTCTCAGTTGTTGATAAATAATAGCCGTAGTACCTGCATAATTAGGCTATTAATAAACAAATAACAGTTCCCTGCGATAACTGTTGGAGTGTTTAATCGATACAGTGCCTTAGACTCACATGTTTGTCGAGAAATGTCGCCCGAAATCAATGGAAACCCGCCAAGTGTTATAAAACGTAAGAAAAACCGCGATAAGAAGTCGTCAGTGGCGAATAACATGAACTCCTTCGATTTAAACGTGCCTAATAGCACCTATTTTCCCTCTACTATGCCGCAATACCATAACAACAGCATCCCAGACATATCTGCATATTACTCCTTTGTAAACAACTCCAACCCATCTGGACCCATGTCTCTCCCGGTTTTTCCCGTTAATTACCCCAATTACTTCCCGCCTAACCCCAACATCAACTTCATGGGGACGATGAGCACCCCCAAACATGCCACACTACCAAATAACCTTATGGTGAATGGGGACAACAGCGAGTATTTGAGTCTACCCGTTGTGAACTTAGATCAGACTGACGAACCCAGCAAAAGACGTTTTTCCGACCCAGGACTGCCGAATGAAAGTGACACCAGCTCAAATTCCTTTGATGAGCAATTAGTTGAGAAGCTTACTTATCAAGTTGGTTCTCTGCAAGAGCAGAATAGGAAGTTATCGAAAGAAGTGATGGAAATGAGGATCGAGCTCAATATTTTGAAGCAACAGCAGAGTTTGAGGCATTACGACAGGGATTATGAACCCGGGATGTTATCGGATATTATTAGAGAAGTAAGAGATGCTGCTAGAGTTCGGGAAGATGCTTTGATTGCCAGAGTAAAGCATATGATTGAAGAGAGGCAATTAAGCATGGTAAGCTATTTTTTTATATTTGCAATCATGTAGAAATACAAGTTTTTATTTAAATATTTATTGCATAATGTTTAAGTTTTAATTAATTCATACATATTTTAACTATTGCTATTAATATGCAAATCACATTTGTAGTTAGTTACCTACTGAGTGTTTAATCAATAATTTAACTGCTAAATTTGGTAGCTATTTATGTATTACCTTTGTGGAAAATTAAACATTTTATTACATGGCAAAAAATATTAATTAAGGTTTAATAATAACCTTGTGAAAATAACATTGAATTATCTCTAAAATAAAAGTAGTATTTAATAAAATAAATTATTAATTACATTAGGTATATTAATTTAAGTGATTTTTTTATTTTACAGTTGGTATTCAAATTAACTGGTACTGACTTTTTAATTTATTTAACGTTACAAAGGGTAAATATTTGTTTGAATTAAATGTAAATTCAAATAAATTTGAATTCTATTTTGCTTATTTGTTTGTTTATATATAACACATTTAAATACAAAATAAATTGACAATGTAGACATTAATAAACTCAATAGCAATAAATGATTATTCAACAATTTATTACTAAATATTGCATATATTTGTTAACATGCAAATTAAATAAACTAATTTATATTATCGATGGAATTTAATTTAAAATATTTGGTTTGTATTTTGCTGTTTGAAATGGTTAGCAATTTTTGTTTACCTATTTATGATTTAATTTTTCAATTAACTTCAATTCAATAATAAACTACCCAGGTAGTTTTATTTAGGTACATTCATTAACGTTGTTTATAAAATCTAACAATAGATTATTTTCAAAATAATTACTAGTTTATAATATGTTTTGTGTATTGTAATATAATACCATTTATGTAAGGATTTAAAAAATTAAAGAAACCCCACATGGTAAATATTAAATATTCAACCTAGTTATAATTTTTTCCAATAATGCAAAGTTAGTAGAGATCTTTAAACTCATATGCATAGCTTTCTACATTATGTATGATGCCTTATTATTATTAATATAATTTATTATAATTAGTGGGAAAGTAATTGTTATAATATATGGGTTTATACAGGAAAAAACTGTTATGTGAAGCTGGTGGCTAATTTATACAAAAGTAAACATGAATTAATTTCGATTTAAAAAATGTTAAGTAAATGTACTAAAATATGCAAGGGATCAACTTGTAGTAAATTTTATTAGAAACAAAACATAAAAATAGATTATAAAGTTACAAAACCATGATTATTGCAGTCATGACTCATAATCTATTTCATTTCTTTTGTGTGGGAGATATTGAAGGTAACCTTACCTAAGAGGTTTATACAGGGTCCTTCTATGTATGGGTATCTTTTTTATATGAAGAGCTACAAGATCGGTTAAATTGGACAAAAGTTGCATAATTACAAGTTTATTAAAATGGCATTTTCTCCGGAAAATGCTGAGCCTAGATATTAACAGCATAATCAAGATTTCTGCCTGCTTCTCAATAGATAAAAACCATTTTAACAAAAACAAGAATAAAAAAGGTACACGAGTTTTAAATGTAAAACTGATTAAAATTGATTAAATAATGTATAAAATTTTTAGGAAACTTACGATATTAGCAAAAAAATCGTACTTTATCGAGAAAAAAAAATCAGATTTAATTTAATAAGATAATTATTTTCACTTTTATATTTTTATTGAAAAATTATTGAAGAGTATTGAACAAAATTGATTTTTTTTATTACAGAGCAATCTCATAAAAAATGTTTTTGACAAAATCTACCTATTTTTAGTCGAATGATCCAAATCTGTAATAAAAAATAGGGTGTTCCATTGTAAATTTTAAAGTTACCCCATGAGAGTATGGGAATAATTTTGGTACTAATTTATTTACCTCTCGAATCATTTTATTTTTATTTTAAAATTGTTTTCGTGAGATATTTTTTACAAGTTACAAGTTAAAGACTCACCTTGTATATGTTTACTACAGAGTTGCAAATAATGCAATAATTTTTAAATGCATTAAGGTTTCAATACACAAAATAATTAGTAATGTGTTTAATTTTCATTATGCATTATTACTTCTTTTTTAATGAAAATTAAATTAATTACTGATTACATTTTTTCCAATGAGTAATGTATTCTTTTTTATTACTTATTTTTAATTTGTAATAAGTAATTTGAAATTTTCAATTACAATTTTTTATGTTAATGAGTAATGTAGTCACTTTACATTACTCATTTTTTTAATTTTTAATGAAAAATTGTTCTAAATTGTTTTTTTACCAGTAGACGTTCAAAATTAATTACATCGCATACCATCGCAGATTCAATACTTTTTTGATTTTAGGTCGCCTTCTCACCTAATTTCTTGAGTGCCTAGAAGTTTTGAATGTCTGTTACACAATTCAAACAAAATTTGAAAAAATGTGTCATGCAATAAATAGGTTTATTTTCTTTGCCCACTAAAAATCAGTAATTCGATAATTATTCATTTCTCATTAAAAATAAAAAATGAGTAATGTAGAGTGAGTACATTACTCATTAACATAATAAATTGTTATTGAAAATTTTAAAATACTCATTACAAATTTAAAATGAGTAATGTAAAAAAGAATATATTACTAATTGGAAAAATGTAATGAGTAATTAACTTAATTTTCATTATAGAAGAAGTAATGCATAATGAAAATTAAACACATTACTCATTATTTTAATAATGTGTACTGAAACCTTAATGCATTAAAAAATAATTCATTATTTGCAACTCTGGTCCCGAGGTGGATTTTTTAATAAAGTAGGAAAGAAATGAATTTTCGAAAATGTTGTTCTTTAAAATTTAGGTAGACTGGCAATTGTTATCAGATAGTCCTCAGGGCCGGGCTAAGGGGGCGCAGCCCCGGGCCTCCACATCATAGGGGCCTCAAAAACTAGTTATACTAATCCTACATACAATTTTGTCATTGTGTACTAATTTTGAATGACTATTAAAGTTACATAATGTAACAAAAAAACGAAATTTTTGGTTTACCTACAATTAGTTACTGTTTATGATCAATTGGGTGTCTGACATCTGCGTGAATAGTTGATCTGAGCTATTAGTTTTAGCTACAAGGTGTCAATATTTATTAGTTTTTTTTTGTTGTTTTACTGTTAGTCTAAAATGGGGTTTTTAGGAAGCCACCAGGTCTAGTAATAACATAACAAAGTGGTTCTGCACTAATGCAAGAATTTTAAGAAATCATAATTTTTGAATATTAAAGCTTCACGGAAGATAGCTTCACAGAGGTTAGGATTTCATATGTTTTTTTTTAACATCCCTTTGTATATTTGAAATAAGTTATTGTATCTTTTGACACCTTAATATTTTTCAAAAATACAATTCTACATACATAAAATATTTATAAAAAAATCTACTTACTGAGATATTACACTTCACGGTGGATAGGTTTTTAAATAGCAAATTAATGAATTATAAAACAGCAACACTCTCATCTGCATATAAATTCTAACTGACCTTCAGGAATCACATGCATCTATAATTTCGTAAACAGAGGTTTTTGCTTATTTAAACCGAATAAAGCGCCATCCGTTGCATAAAATTTAAAGCAAAAACAGATTCACGGAGGATAGAATCAATTTTACATATTTGGTTATAAAAATTATTTCTTTTAATTTTTAATAATATTTTATTTTTGATTCGATTGCTTTGGATGTGTTTAATTTACTTAGTGAACTGATATTTTTAGTATGCTTTTACTACCTCAGATATTTGAAAACATATAGGTTAATCTATCACGGTGGATAGGTTTTAGACTTTTAAAACATTGTAAAAAATAATTAATTGCGGTTAAAAATCTGGAACCTGAGCTGTAATATCTACTTAATTATGAAAGATCAAAACACAATAAAAGTGTAGGTCAAACTCATTTGGTTTTATTAAATATCACAGGGTAACACCATCGAGGGACATTTCGTGGGATTCACCCATTTATACTTGTGTAATAGGAGTAGGTATTTTTAATTTTCTGATTCTTAACCGGCTTTTTTATGAAAAAAGGGGACTTCTCGTACCTTGTTTAATAAACAAAACAAAAACGGTTAGGTATAAATTCATTAAAGAATATTTAAAAATGTATTAAACTTTGAATATTTGAAATGTGTTAAGTGACGAAAATCAACATAAAATTTTTTTGTTACCCAGTTTTATGTATAAAATTTTGTTTAATGAAAAGAAAACGGTAAAAGATAGCTGATTCTATAATTTTGAAACCGATTTGGTAAATGATATAGACTTGAAACACATATACTGAGAAATATAAAATTGTATAAAAGGTACTATGCTCCACACCTCAAAGTCCCACCACGTGACTACGTACGGAACGCAGTCTTTTGAAAATTTGGCATTTAAGAATTTTCAGGTTATGTATCTGTCAAAGTATATTCAACGAAAGAAATAATATTATGTTTGGGCTTTAAACATGTATAAATCTTTATAACATTACAATACTGCATTTAATAAAATTCCAAAGTGTATGGTGCCAAATAAGTAATATTCTTGTGCATTTGGTCGAAATATCTGGTTTTCTCCATAAAATAATTTTAACTAAACAGCATTTATTAAAAAAAATCTAGCTTCTTTATTATGGAATAAGAATATCTGTTTTAAAGCTAGGTTAATATATTATAACAAAAATATCATCTAATTTTGTAATTTTAAGGTTAGAAAAATTTATTTTGACCAAAATAAATAAGTATTTTGGATTATTTAAAAGACTGTATAATAGGGTGGAGTGAATTTTATTAAATTTAATAATTGATTTTTCCTATATTATTAATTGTTGACTAAAGGCGTAAAATGAATAAATATCGAAAAAATATTCCAATTTTTTAATATCTTGAGGTGGCGCATCAGTCTCGAAGTTTTGAAAATTCTAAAAAAATATTACTTTAATCAAAGTAATAAAAATAGCATTATTTATAAATAAAAAATTTATTTTAGTAA